TAAAAAAAAGAAACGAAATGCATTCTGCTGTCATGTATAACTAATTAGAATAAATTAAAATATTTTTTAAAACAATACAATCCTGTGGAACCATTTAAATATCTCTCAAAGGATATTATAAATTTGCATTCCCTGTATGGTTTATGAGTATAGAATTTTATTTTATACATGAGTTGAAGCACTCTCCTGTTGGAAAGCCACAGCACTTGTAATATGCAAGAATCAATTTGATTTTGTGTTCCCTGCCTGTGACACTTCAAGTTAAATGAAGCATAGTTTTCTAGGACCATTATGCAAGGCTTGCCCTCACTCAGGAACTACACATTTTTTTTAATCACCTCACTATCCTCTGAAAATTTGGAAACAACAAATGGATTATTAAAACTGGCACTAATACTATATCACGCATCTTTTAGTGCATTTTAATTATACAGATTAATGTGTTTCATTGTGGCATATTCTTACAAGCAAAAAATATATGTTGATCGTATCCACTCCCTATTATTCTCTCTTACCCTCTCCTCCCAAAGATCCTCTTCCTCTTTTCTAATTCATCTCTTTTCTGTCTATATTCCACACGTGAGGGAAAGTATGAAATACTTTTCTGAATCTGGTGTATTCCATTTAACATGATGATCTCCAGTTCCATCCATTTTCCTGCAAATGATATGATTTCATTATTCCTTATGGCTGATGCTCCATTGTGTATGTATACCACATTTTCTTTATCCATCCATCCATTGATGGGCACCTAGGCTGATTCCATAACTTGGCTACTATAAATTGTGGTGTAATAAAAATAGTTATGCAGGTATCTGTATGGTATGATAAACTTTAGTTCTTTCATTAAACACTCAGGAGTGGTAAAGGTGGATCACATGGTAGTTCTATATTTAGTTTCTTTAGGAACCTCCATAGTGATCTTCATAGCAGCTGTACTAATTTACATTCCCACCATTAGTGTGTCCCTTTTCTTCACATTCTCACCAACATTTACTGTTTTGTTTTTTTTTATTTTGGGGGTGGGTGGATGATGCCAGGGATAGAATCCAGGGATACTTAACCACTGAGCCACGTTCCCAGCCCTTTTTTATTATTTTTTTATGATTTTTTATTTTGAAACAGGGTCTCACTAGGTTGCTTAGAGCCTCTCTAATTTGCTGAGACTGACTTTGAACTTGCAGTCCTCCTACCTCTGCCTCCTGAGCCACTAGGATTTGTTTTTGTAATCTTGATGATTGCCATCCTGACTAGGGTAAAATGGAATATCAGTGTAATTTTGAATTGCATTTCCCTGGAAGCTAAAGGTGTTTATATGTTTTTATGTAATTTCTGGTCATTCCTACTTCTTTTGAAAAGTGTCCATTCATTTGCCCATTTATTGCTGTATGAAATACCCCTGAAGCCCTGTGGTCTATGAACTGTGGGTACCCTTGGCTCTCCTGGACCTGCAGTCTTCCCCCACACAAAGTCATATGTTGTCTTGCTGTGAACTGGCCATGTCTAGACACATGTAACTCCCAAACCATCCATACTCCATACTTTCTAAGAAAACACAATAAACCCTTTCATCAACATGCCAACAGTTTGCCTTTCCTGGCCTCTCATTTAATCAGTCATCATGTGACCTAAACCCTCATGACTTGGTAATCTGAAATCAATGCCAGAGAAATTCTGACTCTGAATCTTTGGAAATGACCTCATTAGGAAATATTTACTACCAGTTCACTGGATAAAGTACAAGGAATTGACCCTCAGTTGCATTTAGCAACTAGTAT